GCACGTTTTTATTGTGTATTTAGCATTTAATTTTATTGTGATAAAGTATATCAATAAATAAAGAAAATAAATAACAACACACAATGATGAAATTTATTTACACCTTTGTACCAATACTCTACAGTGTTCCGAAACAACCAGAAGGATGTCTTATCAGTAAAGAGTGCGCGCTTCCAATTATTGTTAATGTGGTTTTGGGCCCATTCTATCCTCTTTTGTTTGTGTGTTTCCGTGAGCATTGGTGTTGCCAATGGACGCTTTTTATCATAACCGAGATCAGCCAAATGTCGCAAAACTGTCACATAGGAGACGTTTATACCCTTTAATGACAGTTTGTTGGCCAATGTTCTTGATGATATTGCTGAATTCCATCTAATATATTGTCCAAGAGCATTTGAGCCTTCTGGCGTAATTTTTTTGGGACGACCAGAACGTTTTTCGTGAGCCGTACTTCCAGTCTTCTCCAGTTTTGCAAGGTTATAATAGATTGTTGACCTTGGGATAGCTGTTCTACGTTGAATTTCAGCAGCATCTCTAATTCCTTTTCCCCACAAATGTTGAATTGATTGGACTTGTGCGGTTTGGTTGTTGGATTTCATTTCGTTTGCTTAGAATAAATTGTAAACAAAAGTTAGTGATAAATAAGGCAAATGATAGTCAGGATAATGAAGTAATAACGTATTTAATTTAACCGAATTTGGATTTAAACTGGTCGAGCTGTGCGGTTTTTAATTTCGTCAAAGACTTTTGTAACACTGTATATTATTAAGAATTTGAGTTATTTTTAATTTCGCGAAATGTGTATTTGACTGATTAGTATTAGTAAATATTTCTCTTAATTATATAGATTTGAGTTTTGTTTGATTGAATTAATGTGAATGTGAAAACAAGACATTGAGAAGGATCTTAATAAATATAGTATCTAATCTAAAGATTTTAACACTACTGTTGTAGTAATTTTAAAACGATTTCTTTCCTTCATCTTTATCATCATCAGTAATGTCAGAAGTACTGGTTGATCATTACTATTTGCATCTACTACTTGCTAAAATCGGTAAAATATTGATACTTCTTCCAAGCTTTTGAAAAAATGCCAAGATTTTGATAATAATAAAAGTGTTGATTCTAAGTGTGTAAATCAGAATAATATTATACATGCAACCTTTTTTTTGGTCTTGTTTGTGTTGGGCGAAGATCTCTTCCATTTTTCGAGTTACACCACGCCAATGTAATTTAAATTTTAAATAGATTGTAAAGAAAAAATAAATTTTATTCTTTTAAAAAAAAATAAAAGTGAGAGTGAAAATGAAATCTAAAAATTTATTTATATTGATCGTTTTAGTTATATTTACACAGTGTGTTTTTGCTACCGAAGTAATAAACTTGGCTTCTAGTAATTTTACTGAATCTATTTCTGAGGGAACATGGTCAGCATACCTATAATGATTATTTGATCGTTGTTTTTTTATTCTTTCAATATTTTGCATTTTTAACTTTGTTTTTTGGATCTTATCTAAAAAAAGGTTTATAAAGTTTTTTGTGCCATGGTGTCCTCATTGTCAAAAACTTGGTAAGACGATACATTATATCAAAAAAAAAAAAAAATTAAAAATACATTTTTTTAACCCTCTAAAAATTTTTTATAAAAATTTATTTTGTAAGCTCCAACATGGACAAAAGTTTGGGAAGAAAATGAAAGTTATTTAATATCAAAAAATCTTCATATGGCTAAAGTGGATTGTACACTTGATGGAGGTAACAGTAATTGATATTATGATTTTCAACTTGACAAATATATATATATTAAACATTTATTTGATGAATATATTTTTAGATCTTTGTAATAAAAACGACGTAAAAGGATATCCAACTTTACATGTGTAAGGTCTTTTAAAATTACTATTGAAACATTGTTAAAACTATCATCATTGTTATTATCATTTCAAAGTTTCAACATATTTACTACATATTTTGTTCAAAAATAGATTTAATCAAGGAAAGTTTGTAGAAACATATGATAGTTTACGCGATTTTGATTCATTAACAAGTTTTGTTAAAAAAATGGCACAAGAATATTATATATTAAGCGAAGATCAAGATGATGATTCAGTGTTGAGTGATAGTAATAATAACGAATCTGCCATCAAACCAAATCCTTTGGGACAAGTAGTAACTCTTAATGGCAAAAATTTTGATAAGTTGATAAGTTCTGGTACTTGGTTTATAAAATATTATGCTCCTTGGTGTGGGCATTGTCAAAAATTAGCACCAACTTGGGAAGAATTAGGTCGTAAATTACAAAATAAGTTGAATATTGGTAAAGTTGATTGTACTACTAATGGAGGTAACTCTAATTGTCATTATTATCATTCTTATATTTGTAAATTGTTGTTTTTTATTTAAAAATTTTTTTTTTAGATCTTTGTGCTAGATTTAAAGTTAAAGGTTATCCAACATTAAAATTGTATCCTTTTAATTTCCCCAAAAAAAAATCAAAATATTTTAATAACTTTTAATGTAGTTAATAGTAACAATATGATTATCTTTAACTTTATTACTATTGGAAACTATGTAATATATATAAATACTATAAAACAGAGTCCAAGGGCCTGATGATGTTACTGATTATAAAGGTTCAAGAGAATTAATTAGTCTTCAAGATTTTGCTGAAAGTGCTGCTAAAGCTCGAATTTTCGAAATTAATTTAAAGGATTTTGAAAGGGCTAAAAAAATGGACGATGTATTATTCTTATTCCTTTATAACGAAACAACCCCAGTTAAAGTTTGGGTAACTATATATTAATAAGATTATGATGGTGGTGGTTATTATTATTATTGTATTAATTAGCATATATATATTATTTTATAATAGCCAATTGTCAAAGAGTTATCGCGCTCTTTTTTCACGGTGAAATTTTATTCTAGTTCAGATTCCAATCTAATAGCACAACTAGATGTTGACAGTTTACCATCATTATTAGTGATAAAAGACGATTTTAAAAAAATATATCCAAATAATTCAATAGAAGCATACACGGATCGACAGTCACTTAAAGCTTGGATACAATCAGAAAAATATCCATTGGTACCGGCAATGGATTTTGAAAATTACGAAGATATTTTGGGTGGTGAACGATTGGTTGTTTTAGGAGTTCTTAGACCACTTGATGGTAAAACATTTATTAAAACAAAAAACGACTTGAAAGACATTGCAAAACTTTATTATAAACAAATTAAACAAAAAGGAGGATCAGAAGATGGCAGAGCTGTTATTTTTGCATGGATAGATGGGAAAAGATGGTCTGATTATATTTATGGTGTTTATGGATTGACTAATAACGATTTACCTACTATTTTAATTGCTGATCCTGTGGTGATTATTGTTATTATTATTATGCAAAAGAATTTTTTAATATTAATTATATTGATTTTTTTTCACTCTCTCGAAACAATTAATTATAAAGGCGAATGAATTTTTTGATACAACAAGAACGGGAGAAAAAATTTCATTGGCAGATCAAGAGAAATTACTTGCATCTATTCATGATGCCAAGACAGGATATTTGGCTGGAAAAAGTACAATTGGGTTTGTTGAAAAAACATTTAGAGTATGTATTATTTATTATCAATTGTTTGTTATTTATTTTAATTGTTTATTAAATTTATTCTTTTTTTATTTATCTATAGGATATATTTTCATTGGGAGCTATTATTCAGGTAATAAATATATTTACTTTATTGATCTTATGATTATAATAATACTTACTATCAGTGTTAACCAATTAATTAAATTAATTATGTTAATATGATACACATACAGAATTCAGTAATTAAACATCCATTCATTACATTGATAATACTTTTATTGGCGGCTGGTGGTGTATATAAATATTGCTTCAAACCACAAATAAGAGAGGTTAAAGATTTTGAAAGAGGATATGAAAAAGTTGAATAAAATCATTAATAATAATAAAATTTCTTGATTTTTGGATTACAATATTTTTTAGAAGTATATTAATATTTATAATATATAATAATAACATTAACATTAATATAATAAAAATAACAGATTTATATATTATCAATCTATACATACACATTGTATTTATTATTAATACCAATGAATTATAATTTATCGATTTGTTTTTCTAATTCTATCCATTCTTCAGTACTTAATGTATCTTCACCGTATTTTCTTTTAATTTCAGGTAAAACTTCTTTTAATTCTTTGATTCCTTCTTGACTAATCAATTTTGAAGAATATAAAAATTCTGCGAGTAATACCTTCAAAATCTAAATTAATCGTAATAATCATAGCATTATTTTTAGTATCAATAATATCAAAAATATCACATAATATTTATATTACCTTCTCAGCTAAATCTCCATCCTTTTCTCCAAAAGTTTTCAACAATTTAATCATTTGTTTTGCCAAACCTTTTTCTTCTATTCTGTTAGCAACAACTGTTGGTTCTTGAAGTAATAAGTTATTAAATAAAAACACTGTTTTTCTTAATATTTGAAGATCTAAAAAAGAGGTTAACTTTCATTAGAAATATTCATTTGAATTTTATATAATGAAATAAACCCTTACTATCGGATGATTTTAATAAAAATAATAAAGTATCGTATCCGTTATATTTATCAAATTGTTCTAATCCTGATTTAAAATGTTTGATTGCTCCTATCCCCAAAAAAATTATCAATAAATTATATATAATTTTTTGAGCTTTTAATAAAATATATATTAAAATTAAATTACCTGATATAGCATATAAAGCTTTACTTTTTACTTCCAAATCTTCATCAAGATTACTTAACATATCCAAAATAACTTTAATTCCACCATGCTCTGCAAACTATATATTAATTTTATATGTATTAATTAACAAAGGCTTTTTTAAATGGTCAAGGAAATTCAAAAAAATTACTTACAGCCTTTTGAGCTTTGGGATTATTTTGTACAGCAGTTCCACATACCCAAGCTGCAAGAATTCTAAGTGGAACTTCAGGAAGTGAAAGAAACGAAATTAACTTTGGCCATAAATTCATATTTTCTATATCTATTTTGAAGTTAATAAATACATATATATGATCTTTCTTCTTTCTTAAATTATAATTATTATTGTTATTATTATTATTTATTTATATCCTTACTAACTGCGTTATCAATTTGTTCTACAAGCTTTAATTAGAACAATAAATAAATACAAAATAAACAAATATGATAGAAAATTTATTCAATATTTAATTTTGAATCAAAATACCATTTCTAAATTATCAAACGCGATCTTTCTATTCTCGATAGTTTCTTCAGTATTAGATATTACTTCAATTGCCTCTGTGTACGCGTGTATAGATACATGTGACAAACAGTATTCATTAATTGATGTTGTTAATGATGATGTTTAATGTAAAATATATACCTTTCATATAAACAGCATCGCTTTTACCCAAAATATAATCAATTATTTCAGGATCCTTTAAGATATATATAATTATTTAATAATAATAAAATAATTGATAATTAACAGATCAATTAATAATAACTAATTTCATCAACTTTACTATTTGACTTCTTTTTTCTTCTGGTGATTGTTGTTGTGATGATTTGTTTGAAGTGTCAGTGTTTTCTATTGACCATTTTAAAAGTTTCTCCATTTTTATTTTTATTTTTATTTTTATTTTTATTTTTATTTTTATTTTTTATTTTTTTTATTTATCCCATCCAACAATTCTTTTTATGTTATTTTTATTATGATCTAGAATTGACTAGAAACATAAAGATAAAATTTTCGAAAATCTTTCTAAAATAGGTTGACGATTTACGATCATTATTAACTATGCTAAATTTAAAAAATCTTTTTTTTTTATTATATCTTTTCAAATCAATTATATATAGTCTTTGCAAAAATGGTAAAATTTGATCATATTTGATTTTTTGTTTTCGAAGTATATTTCTTATTCGAATATTTATTTATTTCTCTATACATAGGGTAAAGTTCACGGATCTCTTGCTCGTGCTGGTAAAGTCAAATCGCAATCACCAAAAGTTGAAAAACAAGAAAAAAAGAAAAAGAAAACTGGTAGAGCTAAAAAAAGAATTTTGTATAATCGTAGATTTGTTAATATAACCAGTTTTGGTGGCAAAAGAAGAGTGAGTTTTTTTTATAATGATGATGAATAATAATCATATAATAATAAGTAGAAATTAATTTTCTTCTCTTCCCATTTCCCATTTCCCAAATAGATGAATCCTGCTCCAACAACGGATAAACCTTAATTTTTGTTTTATTTAAAATATAAAATATATAATAATGGAATTTAATTAAATATGTTATTAAAACAAAAAAAAAAATTTTCATAATTTATTCTTTTATAAAAATAATAATAGTATAATGCAAGTGGTTACTATTATTGTTAATAAAAATGTTTAATTTTACAAATCTATTTGGTTTTTCTTTACAAACACTAAATACAAAAAAATATTATATAATCTTCCCAAAAAACAACATTACATACACACTATATATGTATAAAGAATATTATTAATTGATTAATACAACAAAACTGATTTTTCTAATATTTTACAATTTATAATATTCATGACATTGTATATATAACAATATCATTTAATGATATCAACGATCAATAACAATAATTTAATAAAAAAAATTTTATTGAAAACATCAAGAGGAAGCAGCTATATAAAAAAATTTAAGAAGAAAAATAAGAAAAATGCACAAGTAATTTTTAAAAAAATGAAATAAAAAAACACTTACTGTAGAAATAAACATTTTCCCATATAGGTTGATAATCTCTTAAAATACCACCAAATAATGATAGGATTGGTTTATTACCAACAGACTGACAAATTTTATCAATTTTTGGTCTAAATTTCATTCAATATATTAAATAAATAAATAAATATAATATAATATAATGCAATGTAATGTAATATAATATAATGTAATATATAAAATAGACAACCTTGTAATTTTTTCGTAGAAAGGTCCTCTTAAAATATACAAAAATAATTGTTTTATTCTTCTTTTTTCTTCATCCTTTTCTACACTTGTTAATCGATGAGATCCGTCTGAGATTTTTTTATGAAAATAATTAGTAAGAATTCTAGTATATACTTCTATGATTATGGACAACAGCCAAGGTTTCCATGATTTATTTCCATATTTTCGAAGAGTAAGAACTATTGTTATTATTTTGTAAAAAAAAAATAAAAAATATAAAGGTGAGAGTTAATATAACAATAGAAAAATATCAAACGAAAGAAAAAATACATATATTTACCATATATTAATGGTCTAATAATGTATAACAATTCACTAATAATTCCTAAACCATATAGTTTATGTACCAATTCTGGTGGTTTCTCAACATCTTCAATTAATAAGACTTTATTCATCAAATAATTGTTTATGTCGGAAGTATGCGAATATCTATTGTTATGAAAAACAGTTGAAATACTATCATATCTATGATTAGTGTTTCTTCCAACCCAACTCTCTGATTCTTTTGATTCAATACAATTAAAATCATTAGTAGATTTCTCGGTTGGAAAATAAGATGGTGATGCGTAATTATTATTGTTGTTTTTAGCTTCTTCTGGATTGAAAATGTGAGGATCGATTTCTCTTCCAGGTATTTGTGGATATACTACTGCACGACCATGAGTTTTGTATAATAATATAATTCTACAAACCATTCTAATTGAAGAAATAATATATATAATTGATTAATTGTTATTAATATTATTATTAGGAAAGCAAAATACATTACATATCTATCCACATATGTATTTATTTTGTTTTCGTACTTCATTAATTCAATTGTACCAATATATTTCCATTTAACTTCTTTGCCCAACTTCTTTTGTATTCCCATTTCCAATAATACTTCAGTATTTTGTAATAATGTTAAAGCAAATGAAGAGTATTGGTATGTTTTTGAAGAATCTAACCAATATTTCGTGTATCTATTGTGTGGTGATGGTTTAGGTTTTTTGTAAGGTGGTAATTTCTCCAATGCCCTAACCAATATTGAATCATGATACAATCCAATTAAACTTAAAGCTGAAAATACTATAAGTATTTTATTTTTGATCGAATTAATAATAATTAGTAATGTAATGAATGATAAGAATAAAATAATAAAATTCAAGATATTTTGTTTCTATCTTCTCATTTATAACATACATGCTTCCGAAGCAAATTCAGCATCAGCAAATCGACCTTTATATTCATTATTATTTAACAATCAATATATCATAAATATTATTCAATTAATTGATCAATCAACATCATAAGAAAATAATAAATAATGCAGATTGAAAAGTTTTTTGTAAAAATTATTTTATTACCAGGTAAAACATAAGTTAAAGTTTTTAAAGAACTTTCAATTGAGCTTATTTGTGATGCATTAGTTAAAATGAAATTTTCATATTTTTTTAAAAGATTCATACTATTTGAAAAAATTTTAATTTTATTATTATCACACAAGATCTTCCTCCGCCCTGATTCAATTATCATTAATCTTTGACCATCATCCTCATTTTGACATTGATCTTCAAAATTTAGAAGACGCGCGATCTTAAATAATCATGTTTCTGCTGATCAGATACAGGAGAAATTCATCAAAGGAGATTTCTACAAAAACAATTCGTGGCCCAGATTAAATTTCGGCAGAAAGTATCAAGGGTTTATTTTCCAACTATCCTGTTTCTTTGGTTTTTTTTCAAAATTGGTTCCTTATAAGTTTCATTTCTGCATGGGTCTTAGTATTTTATCATTGCGTGGGTAATGCAATTTTTTGATATTGCAAGGGAAGGATTAAATAATAACAAAAAGATAAGTAATGTTGATTCAATCAAGAGAAAATGCATAATAATTTTAATTTATATCTTGTACAAATTAATTGCCATTGTTAAAATTTGACTTGATTAATTTTTTTTCAACTTATTTATTTACGATTACATCATTTATTTTTTCTTAAAGCAATTATAGAAAAAATATATAATACCTTTATATTATTATTATTATTATTATACAAGTTTGATTCACCTTTATCGTTACGTTTATTCAAATAACCCTATAAAACATATTTGTTTTTACTGCTAATTCATGAACAAAAATTAATATTACCATTCCTTCACCATTATAAATTTAATAACAATAACAGCAATAGCTATATTTCATCATCATCATCAATCAAAACATATTCAAGTCCAAGCTACATTGCTAGTACCGGTAATAAATCCACCAGCCATACTACTACCAAATACATAAGTAGCAAATTCTAAAACTATAGATGGCAAAATACTAACTGTATAAACTGGCAAGAACTCATAGAATCTCGAAACGATTTTCTAACAATTGCCATTGAGCAATTTTTGCCAATGATCTAGGTGATGTCTACTTGAAAATTCAAGCGGTTGTCTCGGATTACTGGTCATTGGCGCATCAATTAGCCCGGAGAGATGACATTAATTTTATATTACGCTGTGCTGCCAAATAACGAAGGTCGCGTGCGAAAGAAATTAAAGCTGCTTTGTTTGAATTATGAAAAATCATTTTGAGGTATTACTTATTGATTTATTTTGTGTAATATTTTCACGATCAAAAAATTTCTTATTTGCAATTTGACATCTTCCTCTACCAAATTTTTTATACTTGCCAACGTACCTATAACGTTAATTTCAAAATGCCCTAATAACAATTGTATATAAGTATATTTGGGTATTGTAATGGTGAAAGGAACATTTAAAATCGAAAGAAAATTTTCCCAAACACAATACTCGATACATATGCCATAAATATTCCCATTCTTAAGGTCAATTATTACGCCAGCCCGGGCTATTTATTAATTTAACAGTTAATTTTTAGAATCACGTATTTTTTAAATTATTTATTTGCCATTATCCTCGGACAACTTTTTGAAACTTAATTGTTGTTATAAATAAATTAGTATAGTTGTTTCTTTTTTTTTTTATCTTTTGAATTGTCGCTGTTCCTCTTCGTCATGAAATTTATTAATAGATGATAATAATAATAATTCTTTTTTAAGATTTTTTTGTGTGATGTACACTATGATGATAGTGAATGCAAATAAATGGTTCTGGTACGACTGTTTTTCTATGAGACAAAAATTATTGATATAAATCTAATTCTTTTTAATGGTAAATCTAATTTTTTAAATTTTAACTTGAGGAAAAAGATAAAAACAAACATCAGAACAGTTTGCTTCTTAGCTTCTTAATATATTAAGAGTAACTAGGAAAAACTCGCCTTGTAAAAAGTGGCTTAGTATCAAACTTCTTGGTTTAAAAGTGGCTTGGTCGCTTACCATTTTTACTCGCATAATAGAACGAATGTATTTTATAAATAAATAAATAAAAATCAATTTAATTTTCTTGAAGAAACTAAAAAACATGAGGTTAAAAAAAGAATACGATTCAGTACCATCAAAAGATTCCGAGTTCGAACAACAAGAAAGCTCCACAAGTTTGAAAGAAAGTGATAAAAATGAAAATTCTGAAGAATTAGGAGAGGTTGATGGTGATGATGATAGTGAAAGGAACAATATGCTTAATGACAGAGAAAGAGATGAAGATGAAACAGTTGTAAATATGGACGAAGGTTGGGAAAGTAGTTATGAAAAAAAAGATGTAAGTTTTATCATTAAGGTCTTCTCTCCTGATGGATTATTTTTTTAAAAAAATAAATTATAAATAAAAAAATGGATTGAAAAATCATGTTTATTATTATCATCATTATTAACTGTAGAAAGCTGAGAGATCATTAGTCCCATGTTTGGTGATTGCTGCTGTTTTTATTCTTGCATGGGTTGGTTCTGCTATACTGTATGCATATTATCGATCAAGTGGTGCCTCTGAATTACCGAATCATTTACAATTCGATGATATTTACAATGGAAGCTTTTATCCCAGTGCGTATTATCTGGAATGGAGTACTGTTGGTATGTTGAAGTAGTTTTCTTGACATTTAATACATATATTCTATAATTCTAACCTGATTGTACAATTTGTGTATGTATGTATAATAAACAGGCGATGATGATGGAACATTTATATATCGTGATGAACTAAGTAATATAGTTTTGAAACATATAGCTGATAAATCAAAGAAGGTGTTTTTGGCCAAAGGCGAAGACCTTAAAGATGTTCGTACCATACTTTATTATTATAATTAGATTTATGAAAATTATGAAAAAAGTAAATATATTAATAATATATGTTTATATTATATTATAATTATAAATTTATAGCCCTATGGCGATTTTCTACTATATTTTTCATTTAAAGTCTCAGGAGATTCTCAGTACATTTTACTTGAGACAAATAGAACAAAGGTAAAGATTGTTTTGATATGTAAATAAAACAAAACATATAGGTCGTTTACTGAATAAAATTTAATTAATTATTAGGGTTGGCGTCATTCATACGCTGCCAATTTTTGGGTTTTTAATACAACTTCAAAAACAGTAACACCGTTGGTCAAATCATTTGAAAATTCATCAGATTATCCGCTACTGTCTATTGCACTTTGGAGCCCTGTTGGCCATGATATTGTAAGGTTTCATTTAATGGCTTTTTTTTCTATAGAAATATTAGTAATTGATAACTTTATGATTTTGTAGTTATATGTAAGAGACAATGATTTATATTTATTAGTTGGATTGACCGAAGAAAGACGTATTACTTTTGATGGATCAAATATTATTTACAATGGTATACCGGACTGGGTTTACGAAGGTGATATATTTATATTTATATTTATATAAATAAATGTCAAGCATGAATTTTTAATTGATTTATTATTTATTTATTTTGATTAGAGGAAGTACTCGCAAGTAATATTGCCACGTGGTGGTCTACTAGTGGCAAAAGAATTGCATACCTTCGATTAAATGATAGTGAAGTACCAGAGTTCCATTTGTCTTTATATAACGACAATCATCATATTGGTCCCTATCCAAATGATTTTGTTATGAGATATCCGAAACCAGGTTATCCAAATCCTACTGTGGCTCTCTACATATATCATTTAGATACTCCGTTAGCAGCACAGTCGGGACCAGTCGTGATTGAAAATGATTTCAAGGAAGATAATAAACTAATAACAGAACTTGCATGGTGCGGTGATGATCAATTACTAGTAAGAGTTATGAATCGTATTCAAGATATTCAAAGGACTGTACTTGTCGATGCAAGGAAATTAAAAGGGAAAGCAGTACGTGAAGAAAGTACTGCCGTTACAGATAATGGATGGTTTGAAATTGTATGTAATACTAATAATATTATTATTGTTATTGCTATTGCCATTACTATTGTTGTTGTTTTTTTTAATTGAAAAATTTTTTTTTCTCATCCTAAATAGACAAAGAGTATGATTTACATCAAACCCACTGGTAGCATTAAATCTGATTCATATTTAGATATTATGAGTAACAACGGTTATGATCACATAGCTTTTTTCTCTACCCTTGATTCATCCAAACCGCAATTCCTTACTAGTGGTGAATGGGAAGTGGTAGGCAAGATAAGCGCGATTGATTATAGCCGTGAATTAATGTATGTATTAATTAATAATATAACCTTTTTCCCTAAAAAAAATATTTCTATTTTTATATGCGAAAATGGTTGTTGCACATCCAATAGCAATATAAGTTAATTAAAATATCATCGATATTATTATAAAAATAGATATTTTATAAGTACAGAACAATCCTCGATTGAGAGGCATTTGTATTCCGTAAGTTTTGATGGTAAAAATAAAACTGCACTAACGCCATTGGACAAACCTGGCTATTATGAGGTAAATTTTTCGCCAAAAGCTCAATACTATGAATTGAAATATCAAGGACCTGATGTTCCATGGCAAAAAGTAAAAAAAATTGGAGATGAAAGTAAGCTGGAAATTACATTATTTTATACGTGTATATGTTTTATGTTTATTTATTTACTTATCTATACCATCCATTCATCTATGTATTTATCTAAAATTGAATAGAATTTGAAATAGTTCTTGAATCTAATGATGGTCTTCGGGAATTATTGTCTAAATACGAGTTACCCAAACAAAGATATTTGACTGTAGACATTGATGGAAACAGTAAGTAAAGAAATTTAATGACTATAAGCTTACACACATTATATGTATGTTTATTCTTACACTATTCTTATTCTGTTAAGAACTTAATGCTTTGGAAATAAGTCCACCTAATATGGATGAAAGTGGACATAACAAATATCCCGTTTTATTCAGGGTATATGGCGGACCAGGTTCACAAACTGTATCACAAAGATTTGAACTTGATTGGCATTTATTTTTAGCATCAGCGTCAAAGCTTAAGTATATTGTTGTGACGGTTGATGGCAGAGGAACCGGATTTAAAGGTCGTGAATTCCGTATGTGTGTAAGAACTCGATTAGGCGAATTTGAAGCAAAAGATCAAATAAGTGCAGCTAAATATTGGTCAACATTACCTTATGTTGATAAAAATAGAATGGCTATTTGGGGATGGTCATTTGGTGGATTTGTTACATCTAAAGTTATTGAAGCCGATTCTGGTGCATTTCAAATAGGAATAGCTGTAGCTCCAGTAATTGATTGGAGGTAATTTTATATTAATTGTAAAATTTATATTTTTTTAATTTATTGATTGATTATTATTAAATATTATTTTTATAGATTTTACGATTCTGTATATACTGAACGTTATATGAAAACGCCGGAATTAAATCCTAATGGTTATGAGCTTAGTGCAGTAACTAATATGACTGGATTTGATAATGCAAAATTTTTATTAATTCATGGAACTGGTGACGGTAAATATTCCTTTAATATAATAATAATAATATTATAAAATGATAATTAAATACTTAATAATATGATATTTATTCTTTTGTGTGCGTGTATATATTATAATATAATAGATAATGGTAAGTGTCAATATTAAGATATAATCATATAATTTACCTTTTTGCTTTAAATTATTTCTTAGTTTGCTAACAAATTTTAATCTTCGATTTCTAGTACACTTTCAAAATTCGTTAAGTTTAATCGATCGTTTTACACTTGCATCAGTACATAATTATCGAGTACAAATTTATACAGATAGTGATCATTCAATTCAAAAACATAATGCAAATCGCGAGGTAAATTATTAAAATTTACAAAAAAAATTTAAATTATTCAACAATTATAAAATAAAGACTAATTATAACATCAATATCTTATTTTCTCCAGCTCTATTATTTAATAACTGAATATTTATGGCAAAATTTTGGTTCAAGCGAACATCACCATTAATACTATAATAATTATAGAATAATAATCAGCATGTATACATATAATTCATTCATACGTACACACACAAGCATTTATAAGTTTTTGATTATTTTGTATATTTTTTTTACTTGTAAAAAATAAAAACTTTTTAATAGTAAAATATAATAATATTATTTTTATTTATATGATAATGTTTATACATAAAACGCCAAAAAAAAAGCGCTGCTTTCTTGGAATTTTAATATGGTTTTTTTAAAATTATTTCTCTTTAATTAAATGCATATATATATATATATTATTATAAATACTTTTTTTATAATTAAATAAAGAAAAAAAAAATCAATATATTTAAATTAAAGAAAATAAAATCATTCGGGATTTGGGGTAGTTGGAGTAGAATATTTTTCGATGGTTGGATGAAGTGCAGTTAAATTTCCATAATCTTTAAAATCTTTGTGATGATTATTTATATCGATGGGTGAAGATGTGGTGGCTGAATCATCATCCAAGATGGTATGGTTGTGATTATTATTATGATGATGGTAAATTCCTTGTTTGAGATTTACTTGAGGAAAAATGTATTTTTGTTGATAAAAACATTGAGGAGATTGTTGCCATTGCCAATATTGATGACCATTGGGTGGATTGGAGGCTTCAACTATGCTGTGCATATATTTTACGTATAGACTATCAACAAACTCTTGAAAAACTTTTCTACGTCCTTGCCAATATTCATTCAATCCACCTCTATGTTGGTTCCCTTCTTCCTCGCCGTCCATTTTTTCTCTGGTGTTCCCGATTGTGGAATTATCAGTTATTACTGTTGTTTCATTTGTAGCTGTTGTTATTTTTAGCATATCAAAACCAAATCCTATGACCATTTGGATTGTTGAAACAAAACCTATTACTACCAACAATGAATTCCATATAAAAAACCTAAGAAAAAGAAAACGACAAAATTATTTAATTATTTAATTTAAAATAACCTTCAACATTATCAAGAAAGAACCCGGTACTTACATCATAATCAAGTGAGCAATGAACGCCACCCAACGGTTTGCTGCAAGTATTAAAAGTCCTATGACGGCAAAAGTTTTACGAATAAGATTTAAAATAGTACTTATAATAAACATAATGACTCTTTTTACAATTTCTCCAGGTATTTTCTATTATTATTATTATTATTATTATTATTATTATTATTATTATTATTATTAGAAGACATATATCTTTTTTTTGTTTAATATAATATATTTTATATTTTATATAATATATATAATATATATGATGAAATAAACTTTTTTCACCTTATTGTTAAAAAAATATATTTTTCCTTTCCCTTTCTTCAGGAAAAAATCTTTATTATATATCTGAACGATTTTGGTGACACTTTGTTACCATTTAAGTAAAAATCAAGTTTTTTTTGAAAATCACACGTTATTCACACAATTCATTTTCATGTGTTCAAGATTTTTTAGGAGATGTATATAATCTCAATCTACCTTGGTTCCCGTATTTTTTGTAAAATTTCTTTATAATGAACATATTATAAATTTGATAATTTTCAAGACTTTCACCAATACTAGATTTTGACACTTTAGAGTTTCTCCAAGATAAATAATTTTCTTTTTTATTATTTTATTCATAAAATATTAGAAGGAAAATTATTATTAACTCGCAATGATTTTAAGTCATACACAAAACTCACCAATTGAATAAATAGGATAGTGACTGTAAACATGTGACTCCCATTACAACGAGATTTCTTACATTTTTAATGTCCAGCCAGGGTTTCTACTGAAAATTTTCTGAAGACATGTGTTGAAAATATTTGGAAACGTAAATATATTACCTATAAAGGAAATAATATTGCCTTTTTGGAGAAAGATATCCCATCAGCAGAAAATTCAGCAGTATGGGGCTTTGCTGTATAGGAAGGAACATTGAGCTTCAAGTCAATTGTCATTCATATAAATTTTAACGATCGACGTTGAAAATTCTATATATGAAAAAAAATGAAAAAACAAATCCCAATTTATATGTTTTTTGTGCTGCTATCTCCACCGAATTTGAAAACGTAGTAGTAATAGATTTCATAATATTAATATACTTATCAGGGCACTTGGCGACAAACTATTTAGTCATGGAGCGTGTAACATCGAACAAAAATCCGTGTAACTAAATACAAAAAGTTGGGCGCACGAAAAATAAAAACAACTTAATATTAAGGTTTACCAAATAATATATTTGCAAAATTTCGCATCTCTAACATTCTTATAAAATTTCGACCTAATAAACAAAATGTGCGCATTTAGTTACATGGACTTTGTTTGACATTATTTAAGTTAACATCGAGATGTTAATCAGTCTGGTGGTGCATCAAATTATCCCGATAAATTCATTGTTTGTAGTAGTTGATTGATTTCTTATGAATATCAAATGAAGGCATCACCACCACCATCATAATTGGCTTTTATTGTTATATATTTTTATATTATTACATAGCTCGCTTGCGCATGCTCGATTGAAAAAACTTGTTTACTATTGGTATAAATTTTTTTTTACTTTGCAAAAAACAAGTCTACTATTGAAGATAGATGTAAAAAAAAGAACTTGAGCGAGCAACAAGAATATGAAAAGTTGGGGAAAGTTCGAGCTGAAGGCAGAGGGGTTGAATGAGTTAAAGATAAAGTTAGTAGGAGAAGAATGGAACATGAACCGTTCTTATTTAGTTTTAGCTTTACAGAATTTTGAATTGATCAATTTAATTGGGCCCAATTTTTTTAAGAGATTATATGTAGTAAATAAAAAAAATAACGAACACAAGGCAACTTTTTGGTTAAATTATAATATAATTTCACGACAAATTGCTAAATTTTGGTTACAAATTAAACTTCGCGAATCTTTTTGTAAGTTATATAAATTAAAAAAATCATTGTCTTTTTCTCATAGTCGAATCAAAATATACTAATCTTTTTTGTTGTCATTTAAATCCTTTCCTTGAATGTAAATGGATGCATTTGTCCTCACTACTATTATAATATTCATGGTGATTATGTGTTATTATTATTTGAATATATTCCTTTTTACAAAGGATCAATGAATAAATTATATCACCCAAGTAATAATAATACCAAGACCATGCAGAAACGAAATTTAAGAAATTGATTTTTGAAAAATGTCTCGATGAGTAAAAATGAGAAATTCAGCAGAGTTGGAAAATAATCCCTTATCTTCTTTTCATGTATGACAATGGTTCTATCCAGTGTTTCCGTGAAAAAATTTTCTCTACATGATTCCCTTTCTTTTCTTGTGTGTGTATATTTATGTGTGCCCGAATTCCCAATTACAAATTGAAGAATTCCTTAAAAATCGTTTCCAAAAAAAAAAATTAAGATGAGCAAACATGATATTGATCATATGCAGGGTTGGCATTGAGTATCAGCCGAATTATTATCACCGTCATCAATTATTATTGTGCAGTCACTAGTTTCCATTCGTCAAGAAAGATTTCATATCAAAGTTCATTTAACAAACAAAATATACAGCAGTAAAATATATACATGTTAAGGATACCGGCTGCAACTTTTGATGTTGGTTGCTACCATCTTTGCGTCATATAAAAATGATTGCAACCGCTGGTTTCAACCACCTTTACGACCATTTTGTTTCCTTTTTTGGATTGCGACATGGAACACTAATACATGTGAATAATGTAATATAGTAAGCAGTATTGTAGACATAATAATGGGCATGCTACAACAAAACCAGACAAAGTGAACATTGGTATTACTAAGAATTTCAGGGATAAATGGTGTTTGTCTTAACATCCACAATCGTATTACCAATGTAATGTGATCATGATATTTGTCTGGACAAAAATAGTTAATATGAAATTAATTTACATTAGGTCTACCATGGAACCCAAGAATTATAGCACAACTAGAAGTATTTTGAAGAAAGAACAAGGTGAAAAAATTGCCCCTACATTTTCAAAATAAATGATACTCAGACACTTGAAGCCTATCTAAAAAAAGAAAGGATTACTTATGAAATTTACCAAGAAGAAAGGAAAATCATAAACATTAAGAAAAGAAAGCAGGATGAGAGCATACAATTACAAAACAAAAAGCAAAAATCCTTTGAAGGAAAATAATCTTATTATTGCAAATATTGATTTATTTTTTTCTTTTAATTCTTTTTAATCATAGCAATTATAAAACTAAAATTAAAAATTAAAGTTACACCTCCTATTCATAATAAAATAGATTTACCATCAAACTTTTTTTCATTCTTTGAAGTATTGTTTTGGTAACATCTCCATCTTCTAAGTCAGAGGCAGTAGTTTTAACATGATTACATTTGTAATCAGGAAGAATGTAAATCTCATCTTTGTCAGTAACACTGTAGCTGCTTTTTTATTATCATTGGGTTATCATCAATAAGATATCAAAAGTCGAATATTAACTTACATCTAAAGGAACATAACTATCATTCTCTTTGATAGTTGAAATGAATTTCAATTTATATAGAAGAAATATTTCCTTAATCTTCTTTAAATTACTTTCTTATTTTCAATCAAAATCATCTCAGTCTCTTTAACCTCAATTTGAGCAATTCATTGACCATTTTCTTCTTTTGTAGTTGATAATTCTTCTTCTAGTTCTCTAGTTTTATTTTCTAGATGATAACTAAAAGACCAAGCAATTAATTCTTCTGTAGTAAGAGGACTAGTAGACTTATTCATTGTTAAACAGTTATTTCTGTTTCTCTTTAATTTATCACATTATTCACATCAAGGAAGAGCATTTTTATTGTAATCTTTTTTACAATCCTTACAAATAAAGACTATATCAGCATTACTACCATCTTCATCCAATGCCACCATTTGATGAGTAGCAGGAGTCAGTGATGACAAATGACCAACCCAAATGACCCAAATGACTAGGTCATTTGATGGTCATTAAGGTCATTTGGGTTGGTCATTTAAATAAACCAATAAAATTTTACCAATTTATTGTATGATAAAGAGGTAGATCAATTCATTTTTTTTTAAAAAATCGTATTTATATATATGAAATATGGGTATCACTGTTTCACCCATAATAGAAAATTTCATTTTTAAAAATAATATAAACAATCCTTCATGTACTTATTTTGATCAGTGTTTATCAGGCTTGATTTGGTGCATCACCAATCAGAATTTAGTGTGAATATTTATTATATCAAAAAAAAAGCTTATACTTTCTTTTGATATGAGAACATTTAGTCAACTTGATTGTGAAGTAGTTGATTTTGAGATTTAGCAAATAGTGAAGCACCTGAATTGTGAAGATTAGCTCTTCACCTGCATGAAATTTGTATAAATTCTGCCTCTATTGAAAGACTCTGATCCAATATGGGTTTTATACATTCAAAAAAAGGGAATTGTCTTTATGTATGTAAAAAAAAAATAGTTTTAAGTTTTATTATAAAATGATTAATTAATAAAAATTAAAGATTTATTAAAGCATGAAAAAGTTCTTGGAATGGAGTGAATTATTTCAAAAGAAAAAATAGTTAGAAATTAAAAAATATGGAAACCTTTATAAGAAAAATCACATTGCAAATTCCCATAATCAAGAATCTGTTGGTGATGATAATGAAGATGAACTGCTTGATGCAAATAAAGTAACTAACTATATGACACTCAGAGATGATAATATTGAAAATAATGACTGAAAATTAGCATCTTTTGAAGGAGAAGAGGATTTAGATGTCTTTGAAGAAGGAACTGATAATTCGATTAACAGAATTGAAGATTGGGTAGAACTTATTCAAAATTGGGTGAATATGATTGATGATAATGAAGATATTTATGACCCTTTAGAATTTATTTCTGTAGATCATACTATACATCCTGATGATGATCCAATTCTGTGTAGTATTTTTAATGATAATTTAGAATACCTGATTTTGTAAATTCATTTGATTAAATGTTAAAATTTGAATTTAAAATTAAACAATATGATTGGTTCAGCAAATGACTGTGTCATTTAAAATTGACTTTCAAATAACCAAATGGCTATGTCATTTGAGTCATTTGAGGTCATTTAGTCATTTGTCATCACTGGCAGGAACAGTGTCAAAGTTAAGGAGAGTTGGATCATCATAATCTAAAGTACAATAATTACATTCTTGCTTATCCCCTTTTGCTAATTCAAAAACTCTGTATTCTATTACTAAATATAAATAAAATCAAATGGTGGTGTTATTTTTATTTTGTCCCCCCCCAGCATTACCATAGGTAATCTTTAAATACTTTTACCATTGTTCAATTTCTTAATTCCATAAAAGATCATATTAAGTGTGCCATTTGGTCCTTTTCTTGTAATTTCATTTTATCAAGTACATAATTAATTTGTTCCCTTACTACTTCATCCTGAATACCAAATAAATGGACTTTATGTGAACTAAGATAATAAATTACTTACTTGTTGGTCAGAATGTGGTACATGAACATTTTGGGCTCAATCATACTGTAATGAGCAGTAGCATCAACACTGCAATATTGTGTTTTACTGGGGTATTCGATATAAGTTGATTAACAAATCTAATTAATGTCATAATGTAAATCCATATATGCGGATTTTTTTATG